AGTGTTTAATCTGCTAAGAATATCAACTTTGGGAGAGTAAGGATTTGTTAATCATATTCAGAAAGTGCCCCTAGAAAGGAAACTATCCCCAGAGTTTGGAAGAAGGTTACAAAATGTTTGTTAAATGATTTAAATAAAATACATATAGAAGTACACTCAAATAATGTTTATTAGAATGAACAATTCTGATAATGAAATTTAATCTTGTAATAAAGAATTTTCCTTTTATGATGACAGATATTAATAGTATCTTACGTGGTACACAACTGACCTTAGAAAGCCTGGCAAAAAAAAAAAAAGATATTTAGAGAGGGCAACTAGAACCACATCACAAAGGCCTTTGATATTCCTGTGTTCACCTCTGAGGACCCTGGCCATATTCAGAAAGCAATGACAGATCATGGGCTAGTTTTGAACAGTAGATAAAAAAAGCAGGTTGTTACGGATAATGAAATGAGTCAAAGCAGGAGCATCGTAGAAACTTTTGAAAGAAAGCATTGGCTTGGAAATACACCATGGCTCCTACAACTGCATGCCACAGCATTTAGGACTCACAGAAGTCTTCAGATCATGTAGCATTTATTATTTTGACAGTACACGGGATGCCAGATGGATTTTAAAGACACAAGGCATAAGTAGGCTTATTCAACGCAGTCAATATTTAGGCACGTCCAACCTGAGAGAAGCACTGCCACACAGGTGTCTGATTATACACTGAGATTAATATGATTAATATGATTAATATGCATAAGAACTCATCTACTTAGGTCACCTAAACTTCAGCTTTTTTTCCCATGCATTGCATTTCCACCTCATATTTTCTACTAAGAAAAATCTATTGAATGTGCTGTAGGCAGAGGTCTTCCCATCTGAATTTGTCTTGACTGCATATCTGTAATCCTTTTTTGATAAGGACCATTTCTTAAAATGCTTAATGACTTGGCTAGGACTAAGAATGGTTTGCCTTTTGGTTCTGCTGAGTTCAGCATGGCAGAGGCATACTCACTGCCTCTGAGACTGCTGGGTGTAAGGCATCCTCACCAGCTCAACTCTGGTAACCAGTTGGTTCATGTTGCTACCAAGTAACTTGCAAAGCTGCCCAAAAAAACCACTCAAGTGCTCAGCCTCCAAAAAGAGTCAGAGTTGTTTGTGCAACTAGCATGAGCTAGGAATCTGCCATTTTGAAACTGTGCAATTTTTTTTTGCTGCTAATGTTGAATCAGGAAGGCCTCTCTTAAAGGAGCCACTGTGTAAGTTAGTAAATTAATATAATTCATTGGATATCTTTAAAATGCATTCCTATTCACTTTATATATTTTCAACATATCTTAGCTAGTGTTATTCTTGGTTTTGTACATTTCAAATTTTGGTATTAAAGCAGACTTGGAGGCCCTTTAAATATTAAAACCATTTTTTTCTTACTGTGAATAAATGTATTGTGGGTACGTCCAACAAAAAGAAAATCTAAGTCCATCATTATGCCAAAACCATAGCTGTGGAAATACTGAATCTCAAACTTAAAAGACCATAAGCAAAGAAATTCAGTTCTTTGTAAACTCAATCTTTAAAACCCTCTAGTATTTCTGAAAACCTAGCTATTACCAGCAAAAAAACTTTTAACTAAAAAATCAACATTCCTCTGTTTCATTTAGTGGTCTGTTACTCATGTATCTTCTCGTATTTAATAAAGCATTGGGGATCTTCTCAAACCTCAAAACCAGAGAATATTATAGTCCCCTCCACTAGAAAAGCCTAATTTTCAAATGGCCATCTTGAGAACAAAGAGGGGCTTTTCTCATTTTTCTGCTTTCCTTTTAATTAAGGGACCACAGTTAAGAGTTTAAGTAAATCCAACTTAGGAGAAGAAAAATCCTTATGCATCATATTTGCTCCATTCCTGGGGAAATTTATGTCAAAAGAGATTAAATCAACACCATTGTTTGAGCCATCTAAGAGACTCTCCTACCATAAATTCATCCTGTTTTGATTCTTTTCTCTTGGTATCTTGGTGAACAGTCAACCAAAATCAACCTGAAACCTACCTTTCCTACAAGACTCCTGCATTCTGAAGGAGAAGATTTGCCTATAAGAGTCTTAGCATTTAGGTCAGTGGTAATTTCTTAAAAATAGAAAATTTACTCTGTATGAATATAAAAACATTTTTAGTCTCATTTGTAGATCAGAATTTTTTACCTCATGTTTCTCTATATGTTAACTATAATGCCATACTGAGTCATTATTGTGGGAATAATAATCACAGAGATGTTGTTTTGAGATGCTGAATGCTATTCTGTGTACCTTGCTGGGGCTCTTGATTTGGGGCCTTTGTGCTGGTAGACATTAGATAGTTCGAGAAACACTATCCTTCTTAGGGCCATGAGGAAAGAATACATTTGTCAGTGACTGGTTCTTTCTACCTGCCAAAAACTGGGCCATAAAAGAGAAGAATGCCAGAGTTTCTGTCCAGATCTGCACTGAGAAGATAACCAGGCCATGATTAGTTAATTCTGCCAGAGCCTTCTACATGGAAATATTTCTCTGTACTTTAATTTTCTCTTTGTCAGTTCAACCCAACTCCAAAGAGGATTGATGTTTTAAGTTATTGTCTTATATTTTAGACTTAAGAATAATATCATACATTGGGTCGATGTAGACCTAGGGCTTTGATAGATGTGGACACACTTCCACCCAACACAGTGCTCCTAAACTCTATAGAGATAAAGCTCATGTATGGACACATATGAATAAAGAACTTAGGACACATTTTCTCCTACCTTAAAACAGGTTTCCAACAACTAGAAACAAATTTCATGGGAAAAGTAAGAAATTTTAATTTTGTTTCTTCTACAAAATAGATTTATTGAGGAAATGCACGGAGGGGGGAGGACCTAGGACTTACCACAGAGCAGGGAAATCTGACTGCTCTTTGGGCTGGAGAGGGAGGGGGAGAGGAGTGGGGGGAGGGGGAGAAGGGTGGGAGGAGGGGGAGGGAAATGGGAGGCTGGGAGGAGGAGGAAATTTGTTTTTTTTTTTTGTTTTTCTCTTTTCTCAATAAAAAAAGTTAAAAAAAAAGAAAGAAGTTGAGCAATCACAATTTAAAGAACTTGAACTTGATTCTACAAAGAAAAGACATGGGGCTAGCAGGTACGTGATGTGGGATTCCCCTCAGTATGCTGTAAATATGTTTTGTTACCATTGGTAAATAAAGAAGTTGCTTTGGCCTATGGCAGGACAGAATATAGCAAGGCAGGAAATCTAAGCAGAAACAGAGGAGGAAAGAAGGCTGAGTCAGAGAGACACTGTATAGTTCCTGAAGGAGAAAGATGCCAGAAACTTTAAGCCACAGCCTCATGGAAATGTATAGATTAATAGAAATTGGTTAGTTTAAGATGCAAGAGCTAGCTAGAACTACTCCCTAGCCATTGGTCAAACAGTGTTGTAATTAATATAGTTTTGGTCTGATTATTTGGGTCTGGGAGACTGGGAAATGAGTGTGAAGTCTCCATTCACAGGTATGCAGTCAGCTTATACAATATTCTTCCAATTCCAATCTTAGTGAGTCCAGCTTCATTAGAAAAGTCTTCAGTGACAGGACAAGGAATAATTTCACTAAATTTGTTCTCTGAAAGCACCATGTTTTGAAGACATACTTTCTTTGGGGGACAGGAGGCATATACAGTGGGTACTGGATGAGTGTAGTTTTGACTGCATAACATTTGTTAAGAAACAAACTTTACACTAAGAGGGAGAAGTAGGCATGAGCCCCCATTCCTAACCAAGAAATTGTCTCTGACCAGCAAACATTCATAAAGGAAAAAATAGTTTCCGTCAGTGCCATCTCATTGGATCTACAAACCACAGTTAAGAGCTGGTCCAATACCCAACCATAAATAGCCAACACAAAACAAACTTAATATTATTTTTTAAAGATTTATTTTGATATCATAATATTTAGTTTAGGAGTTTTAAACCTTACTGGTATTTTGTTTATATGGTTTTGTTTCTGATTCTGTGAATTTTATGGTTTATTGTGTCTGTGTTTCTGCTTGTGTATGTGCCTTTATATTAGTTTTGTTTTTATTGATTTTACAATTTGATTGCTTTGTTCTTTTTTTAATTTACCCATTTGTATTCTAAAAAAGAGAGAGAGAAATAAACTATGGAGTTTAATGTGGGAGGAGATAGGGAGAATCTGGAAGGAGATAAGGATGGGGAAATCATGAACAGAATATACTTAATGAAAAAAATCTATTTTCAGTTAAAAAAAACCCTCAAATCCACAAATTTCATAAAGTGTGGTTATTTGTATTGGATGTTCCTGGAAGGCTATGGGGATTTGGGAGTGATTATCGTCGAGATATAGTGTACCGAATTCTCTAGGAATAAAAATATCTAATTATGTTGAAATAAAGGTATAGTTTCTAAATGGAAAGAAAGTAAACAACAACAACGGCTTTAATGTTTATTGGGCAGAAAAGGTTACTTTCCTTAAATGTATTTTTTACTATTGCTTTTTGTGAACAACTATGGAACCACGTAATATTGACCACTGAAATCTGTTATTACTGATGTATGAAATCAATACCTATATTCCAAGCACAATGAGCTAAGGAAATCATAACTTCTATTTTAAAGTATACTTTTCAGAATATTTTTACATTTATTGGTCCTTTGTGTCTCATCATTCCCATTTAAGAATTTCATAGTGACTGCTCAGATATTGCATACTTCCTTCAATGGAGTCAACAATGTACATACTTGAGAAAAACAAGAATGAAAATATCAGCAATATCCAAGAACGTGTGAGATATAAATGCATTTTATAAAAGTGTTTTAGTAATTCAATGTATCTGGATGTTAGAACTAGTCAAAGTGTGGAAAATCCTACGATTTCACAAGTAAAATATCACAAACTAGGACTTTCTTAGATTCTGACTGGATTCCCTTATGTGTTTCATAAAGAACATAATTTTTCACAAGAATTAATACCATGATGCCATTTGCAATGTTTTATTTTGCTATTAGCTTGTTAATCATAACATGCAAATAATCAAAAAGAAACATACACATGACAGAGAAAAATAATTCAAGGAAAGTCTCATTAAGTGACTATACAAATGTTCAGTACTAAATGCCATTTCTTTAGGTGGATATGGTTTCATATTTTCTTTGTTATAATTCAAAATTACAGGTCTCAAACTACAGAATCTTTATTTCAGCAAAACAAATTTGAACATATCAAGATAATTTGGATTAGGATAACAAACATCCATGCATATTTCTTTTCTGTTTTTGAGGTCATTAACTTAAAATGTAAGAATCATAAATATCAGTCTGATTGATTGATTTTCATGCGATCAGTAAAGAGGCTTCATATCATTTGAACATAGAGCTTTAGAAAACATGAAATTTACAAATGAAGAACTAAGTTCAATGTTTTTGTGTGTCTGTTCTCATGATGAAATAGGCCTGCTTTTCATCTTTTATTAAAAAGTGGTAAATGTTCACAAAACATTTCCTTCATTAATTAAAGTCCACAATGTAATAGCAACAACAAAAGAATATTGTGAAAACTTTACAGACATCCCCGAAATAACTAAACATGAAGTATTGCTCCAGAACATACTTCCATGAACTGTAATAGACGATGTTAATTTATGTTGATTTCATTTGCTGCACGTAGACACTCGTACATGTCAGGGGGCAGACTGCTTTGAGTGAGGGGATTGCCATCCAAGCGCAAATGCTTGATCTTAGAGTAAGATAGCGGTCCCAGTATCTTGCAGAAACTCTTGACATCAAACTCTGTGGATGAAGAAATAGAAAAGAGCAATCATTTTTCATTTTACTATATTAAAATTATTATTTAAAGAACATACCCTATGACTGACTTCTGATTAGGTAGGATGTCCCTCAAAAAGCCATCTCTACTATGTATTTGTGAAATAAAGACTACTGAACTTACATTTCAGGCTACTACAGGTTCACAGTGATATTTAATAAACACTAAATAGGATAAATCAGGAGGCTCAACGAAACTTCTCAAAAAGCATAATTTATTGAAGTTTGATAAGAAGCTTTAGAAATGCATACAGCTAGTATGAATTAGTCAGAAGGGTCTTCAAATGTCTAGCCTGACCTGAGTGCATATGAATTATATGAATAACCTCATCAATGAAAAATTCACATCCTTGGTATTTCCAGCCTGAAAATCATAGACTTGACTCCATGATCACTGAGGAATTTTCCATTAACCACACACTATGGCAGAGAATCAAAACTCCAAGACATAAACCAAATCATGGAATATGCAGCTAGTGTACCTTGGTGGTTGAGAAGTTGTCACAATCCAAGACTTCTCTAATATTTTAACAGAAACCAAGGGACTTACTAGGATAACATTTGTTTACCCTGGTCAGTTTGAACTTCATCTTGTCCACTCCTTAGATCAATATTTTCTTTTATTCTCAAACTCTAGCTCGGCAAAAATGAATAAAACTCAAACACTCTCCATAAAAGAACTCCATTCTTTTATGATGTTTGTTTGAGTTGCATTTCAGGATAACCCCATAGTCTTTCTATAATACCCATCTCTGAGAAATTATGATGCAAAGAAAGATGACTTTATGCCTGTGTTTGGATGCTGTCTCTGCTGCATAGCTTGGGAACTTGGAACTCTGGCTGCTCTCTCTGTCTGATACAAGGTATTGCTTTCTGTAAGTTGCATTAAAATTATAAAGTTGTATTTAAAGCACCTCACGGCATATAACACACATAATACCCTCAATAAATACTGATTTCTTCTTTTTTTTTAACATTTTTTTCTCATTCTAAGATAATTTCACTTGAAGAAGATAAGATTGATTTAATCTAACTTTTAGTCACATGACTGGAAAAGGGATAATTGCTTGTGGTTGTATATTGGAGCTTTGTATTTTGGGAGAGGATGCTCCTCATCTTCCTATGTGATAGATAAGCCACAGGCCAAAATCTTTTTAAATTTGCATATATAAATAATGTAAAAAGTTTTAATTGATTCATTTTATGAGTGTCATAATTAATTTATAGATGATTAAATGTAGGAGGGAGGATTGCATAAAGTTACATGAAATTATTACAGCAGTGTAGTAACAATATCCAATATAATTTTTCTGATAGAACTGTGTTTATCGCAACAAGAAGGTTGAAGCTCTCATTAGATAAACAAGACCAATTTAAGTAGACCAACAAGGTCATTTTGTAAATAATTGCTTCAGATTTAAATGGTGTTTCCCACGTAGATTTTTCACAAAATTTGTCGACTGATACATTTCCATCCCGAATTCTATTACATGGAATATTTTAATGTCATGTCTAATTTCATATTCTCTAAACTGAAGTAAGCCTAAGAGGATGGAAGTCTGCACAATGCAGATCAAGTTTAGCTCCATCACAGAGAAAAAAAAATAAAGCAGCATGAGAACAGAAGGTATGAAAGTAAAGGGCTCTATAAGGATATTTTTTAAATAAATAGATATTTGAAATAATCAACATCTCTCTACTCTTCAGCTTTCTTAGAATCCTCATGAGAACACTGTGAAGATCACACACACCATACTAGATAAGAGTGGTAATGTTGGCCAGGTTCGTAGGATGGCACATTGAATCTCAAGAGGTTAGGGACAATGGGACTATATATGTGTGATCTGAGTCAGACAAGCAGGGGGATGCTTGAGAGTCTATGCTTCCTGCATCACTTCTGAACTTTTGTCCTCCTTTCCCCACTTGAATCTTGCCAAATAAAAAAGGAAGCACACAAATCTGCACTGGGAACAAACTAAGAAATAATAGATAAATATTAAGAGATAAAACAGCAGTGTGGACATTAAATCCTTATAAATTTAGTGTAAAATTCTATGGCTTTAACTGCTCTTGGTCCTGACACTCTGAGAAATGGTTAGGAAGAAGCAATGTGTGACTGAGCTAGAGTTTCAAGTGGGAATTATGTTGTTCTTTTAATTAATCCTTATTCTATTGTGAAGCTTACATATTCTAACACTTGCTATACCAATCAAACACAGGGGCAGTTTTATACTTACTTTCGAGTTCATTGACCTCCAGGTAATAGTTTTCAAGGTTTTCATTAACATTTGGGATGCTTTTAAGTTTATTATAAGAGAGATCTAGTTCGAGAAGGGATGATATATTAAATGAGTTTCCAGGTACTCCACTATCCGTCAGTTGATTGTGGGATAAACGCAGGTACTGTAACCCCGTGAAGCGCTTGAAATACTCTTCGGGGATGCTGCTGATCTTATTATTGTCTAGGTAGAGAGTTTGAAGAGATGCTGGGAGGCCACTAGGAATCTTGGCAATCTGATTGAAGCTCAAGTCGAGGTACATTAGTGATTTCAGGCCTTTCAGAGAGGCTGACACAGCATCCTCTTTGAGCTGGTTGTACTGAAGATGAATGGAGGTAAGGTTTGCCAGCCCTTCGAAGGACCCCAGCTTGCTAATTTTATTGTTAGTCAGCTGCAGGTCTTGCAGGGACTTTGGAAGTGGACCCACTGATTCTGTCAGGTTGTTGTGGTTTATGTGCAGTTTCTTCAATTGTTTCAGCCTAGAGAACACTTTCCCTTTTATCTTGGAGTTTTCCAGGAGGTTGTGGTCCAGAATGAGCCACTGCAGGTCAGTGACATTCTCAAACGCCTTCTCATCAATATGGTCGATTTGGTTATTACCCAGGTAAAGGTACTTGATGCCAGGTGGCACCATGGGGACACTTTTCAGCTTCAGATTTTCACAGTACATGGCACTTGGGTAACTCTGGGGACAGTTACATTCTGGTGCACAGTTGGGTGATAGTTGCCCGTACATGAAGAGAGGGGCATCGTAATCATAGTATTGGCCACTGACACCACCGACTAATGCCAGGACGAGAGCAAATGCACACAGATTCATTTTCAGGAAGTGCTTTGAATCCTAAATAAAGCAGAAACAGATTATTATAAAAACAATATAATTCCAAGAAAAAGTTTGATTCATGTTGAATTCATTAACAAAGCCCATCTTGTCATTTCATTGTTAATGCCACTTAAAATAGTGTCTTTACTGTCATTTAAACCTTTACATTTCAGCATAAAAGTAAGGGTGTGTCGTGTTTACACCTATGGAGGAAACCCTTTTCAGGCATGCGCATATGCGCCCCCTTCTGGTCATGGCTAACTTAATTACTTTAGCCCTTGTTTTGGCCCTCCCTTGATTAGAAGGCTCCCTTCAAGCCTGGTGATTCCTGTGTTAGAACCCTTCCTAAGAACATTTCTCTAAACCAGAAGAAATGAAAATTAAAAGACAAACTGTAAATTCCTCAATGCACTCTGCCATTAAAATCATTAAAATGCCTCATTAGGAAGACCCTAACCGGGAGCAGGGGCAATCTGTGGTTTTCCCTGAGGAAAAGCTACTCTTGCTGCCTGTGGAGCAAAAGAAGCAGCAGGCACATTCCTTTCGCAGGGTGGTGATTACTTAGATGGATATTTACATTATCTGAAGCTCAACATTCCAGGCTTTAAAATCCACCGCAAAACTGTTCTGTCGAGCTAATATTTAGTAAATTAATTTTAGAAGAACAAATGTTTACCCAACAGCAAAATGTCAAATGGTCTTGGTTTTTAAACCCAAACCAAAAAGGACCTCAGCTATAGAAAAAGGTTGTTTTCTACTCTTAAAAGTGAAGTTCTTCTGCTTTCTCAATACATTGTAAATCATCTTCTTTGTGTCACAGTATGAGGTGATGAAATTTGCTAATCCAAACTGTAGTGTCCTCACAGAGTGGAAATAGGAGAGAAGAGAGATGGAAGAGGACACAGCAACAACAACAACAATAGCAATTGCAACGGTGGCATCACAAACTGTGTAGAAGTTATTAAGCTGAGAGTATAAATTTGAGATTTCATGGTAGTTAATTTCACATAACCTATCCCTAAGAGGAGGATGAACAGTGTTTCCACTTTCAGAGACAAGCTGCCAGTTCACATAAAAAATAAAAGCTAGAATATAAGAGTGGGGAGTCATAGAATGCACCCCAGAAAAGCTGGTATTCCTCTGAGAGAAATTGGGTGAAGGGAAGTCACACTCAAACCGAGGGCATTGTGTGGCATTTTATGTGACCAGTCTGAGACAAGCTTTTGCATCAGGTAGCTTAGAGTGGGTAGGCATAGGGAGACCATTCGTTTTAAATATATAGCTTAGAATCCTAAGAGACTTCATCAAATGAAACACTGAAGAAGATTTTGCAATAGAAACACTTAAAATTCTACGATCAGATATAGTCACAGTGCTATTAAATGATTCCCCCCTTGATTCTGATGGAAGTTTTTTTAACTTAGTGGACAGTATTTGCCCACAGCCAAGCACTAGGAATGCAAAACACAGTAACAGAATTCCTCATACCTTTCAACACATTAACAATACATAATGTTTTATTGATTCTTTTATGAGGTTTGACGTTTTTAATTGAATGGGCATAGTAATAAAAATTACTTCCACAGTTTTGGCAAAGTTAAAGCTAACACTCTGAATTCAAAGCGAACCTGCAAACACACAATGCCTCCACTGTGAGGAAAAGTCACACCGTATTCTCACCCATACTTTTCAAATACCTGTGACCATAAAAGAAATACTCTTTGCAGAAAAAGAAAAGTATATCTCAGAATTTCTTTAAAACATGATTCTTAAGCTGTACATCCCAAACCACAATCTTTAAATGAGCAGAACATGAAGAAGGAATCCATACAAGTATCTGAGTCATTCAGGAAATGTTTTATAACACAGAATGTTTATTGTAACCTGTAACAACGTATTTTATTGAAAAATCTGTTGAATGCGGCTAGCAGAGACCTTTCTCTGCTCCAATTCTAGGTTTCAACAATATAAGCATATGTAGCTAATTAGCATTTTAAATTCTGTATTTTTTTGAATGTCTCGTTTAACTATTTTCTCATTGTGACCTTGGACTATTTTAAATTCCCCTTGCCAATCAATTCAGCACACATTGTGAAATGAGCCATAAGTGATGGAAAGCCTATTAAGTAAAACGTGAGTATAAATGTTCAAAACTGTCGTTGAAAAGCAAATTGGCAAAAATCGTCTAGATTTCTTTTTCCGTTCCTGTTAAAATTAAATACTGTCCCAAAGAGTCAGCATTCCCTGGGCTATAGTAAAAACAGCGCTTACCTTGCTCTTGACACTGCTTCCGTTAATTCCTTAAACAGACGCACTGAGAACAAGGATCCACTAATATATGCTGTGAACTCTGTCAGGGTGGAACTGGCTGCCAGACTCTCAGTGATACAAGAGCTTGGGAGGGGTGGGGGTGGGGGACCAGCCCAGTCACGCCATTCTCTGGATGGAGTTATGTCACTGTAGGTTCTTGTGGTGTGGCATGTGAACACTCTGCTCTCTAACGAAGTGCAGGTGGACAGAACAGACCCTACCCTATGGAGGGAGAGAGAGAGAGAGAGAGAGAGAGAGAGAGAGAGAGAGAGAGAGACTTAACTGAACCAAATCTCCTAAGAATTAAGTCTGCTGCACACAAGGCAGTTTGGTGAGCGAATGTTTCTACTGCAAACTTCTGGACTTCTGCGTGTGTGGCTGCAGCTAAGTGTGATATATTCAGCCAGCTGTTGTGCTCATGTGAAAAACTCATGAATCACAAACAAAACAAAGGATCTCAGGAAAATGCAAAGGAGCAAATTCAAAGGAATTGAATCTTTTCCTGGGGTTATATTCTTGATTAACTTGGACCCGCTTGCTTCTTGCCCAAAGGCTAAACTCATTTCTATGTTATGAGCGATGTTTCACATACGTTTTGATACAAGGGATAGCATGAACTTTCCATTTCAATTGTCGTGCTGAGGAGATTCTTTTATGTTCTTCAGAGCTGGAACCACTCAGCAAAGTCTGACCTGTTTCTCATTTATGGACTTCCCTCAGGAACTCACTCAAAACTTTGCTTGCAGATAATATTCTATAGCTTATAGCCAAAAAAACAAAAGAACTAAGAAAGCATAAATATAGCCTAAAAATATCACAAGTCACTAATCCTTCTTTCTGTCACCACATGCTTTTGGCATTTTTCCAAGGTGGACGTGACCCAAAGTTGTGGTTGCTCCAAAGACCCGGCTTGATACATCTTTCCAATTCACTTTCTTGTGTGTGCGTTAGCGAATGAGCAATGTATTCAATTCCTTACCTCTATAATTACTTAGTTATATTAGTTGTATCTGTAGGGTATTTTAATGAAAAAGACTAATTTTCTCATACTTATGAAAACTCTTAGAATAATATATTTCAATAGTGGCTGTCACAGCATAAATAATTTCCTTTAGAAATACCTTGATACAGAGCTTAGTTTGTAAAAGGTTTGCCTATCATTCATAAAGCCCTAGGTTCAGTTCCCAGCAGCAGATGTTAAACGAAGTAGGATGACATAGCTGTTAATTCAGTACTCTGAAGGAAGAGGCAGGAGGATCAGGAATTCTAGGTCATCCTCAGCAACATGGTGAATTTGATTCTAGCCTGAGATCCATGAGACCCTATCTCATAAGAACAAACAAAAACCTGAGACCATGTCATATTTTTCATATTTGAATAGTGAAACCCAAGGAATGTTAATTTCCTTGGTCACTATCTCACTTATCTAGAAAAAAATGTGATAGATGCTTTATGCTCATTGCAGCCATTGGAAGAAGAATGTTTTTGTTCTTGTATGTAACTAATAGAATTGAAAGATTTATAAATGTAGCTTTATTAGTGCTAGTACTATTATCATTATTGTAAGAATGTTTTGGGGAGGTGTCAGGCTTGAAATAAAGGAAATGAATAAGTTATTAGAAAAATACAAATAAAAAGATCAACTGTAATTAAAGAACTTTGCAATAAGACATTTGATAACTTTAAACATTACCTTTATGTGTACTAAATTTTAGAATCTTGGATGTTCTTTTATCTAGCATCTATTTATGCCTTAGAACTTTTCTTTATGAAGTGAGGGATGTACTTTTATTTCTGATAGACTTTAAATGAATTATATTTTATGTTGGGACCAATTAAGTCCTGGCCTATAACTGCTCTGAGCATGAGACCTTCAGGAGTTCCTGATGGCAGGAGAGTGGTTTCTGGTGGGTTTGGCTGGGGCGTGGCTATCTCTATATAATCTGCCCCTGAACACAATAAAGAAGGCATTCTTGGGGAATTCAAGGATGACCCGTGTCTCTGTCTCTCTGTCTGTGTGTGTTTGTGTATTTTAACCTCCAGCCTCCTTTCCCGAAGCTCACATACTGGAGGGTAATAGAGCACCGAGTGCAGACACGGGGGCACGATGCACAGCAATTTTGATTCTGGTCTGCAAGGTTAATATGGTCAATATAAACTTTTTAATAAAATTGTGCATAAGAAGGCCGGGCGATGGTGGTGCACGCCTTTAATCCCAGCACTCAGGAGGCAGAGGCAGGCGGATCTCTGTGAGTTCAAGACCAGCCTGGTCTACAGAGCTAGTTCCAGGACAGGCTCCAAAGCCACAGAGAAACCCTGTCTCGAAAAACCAAAAATAAAATAAAATAAAATAAAAAAATAAAAAAATTGTACATAAGAGCACAATTAATTAACTAATTACATTTTAAATTTTAACCAATTGTTGAGATAAATGGGTTTCATTCTGATAATTTCATACATGCACACCAGGAACTTGGCTGATATTCATTCTCCATTACATTCTATCATCCTTCCCCTTCCCATTGGTTACCTTCTTCTCTAATAATAGTCTTCCTTCTGTTTTCATGCCCGATATTCATTGTACACATATATATCCTCATCGTTTTCAAAAATTGATTTTCATCTTTGAAAGAATGCAATAATTGTCTGACTTGTTTATCTCACTTGACATGATTATCTTCAATGCCATTTATTTTTCTGAAATTAATATCATATATCTGAGGAAAATTCCATCATTCATTAGTTCACTTTTTTGGTATCTGTTCACCTTTTGACAGACAACACTTCAAGAAACAGTCATAAATCATATGTATCTCATAGATTCTAATAGTATTGAAAGTAATATCAAGAGTTGACCAATGATTTTGCATAAATAAAAAAGCTAAGAAAACAATTAGCAGAGTGAAGCAGAGGTCCACAAATGGGAAAAAAAAATACTTGCCCTCTCTCTATTCATCTGACAGAAGATAACCACAACACAGCCTTTAGACTATGGGTCACACCCCTGTGACTGACTGCCATAGGTTGTGAAAATGTGGCAACAGTCACAAATTTCTGGACCTGTAAGAACCAAAAATGTGTTCAAAATCAAATGTGTAATGAGTCTGAGGCATTTTGGGAAGTCCCTGCCTGTGTTTTTAGATGAAAAATTTCAGATGCCAAATCTAGTAGATAGATAGATAGATAGATAGATAGATAGATAGATAGATAGAACAAAAACTTAAAATGAAATTTAGTGAAACTATAGGCAAATAAAATGTATGTTTCATAAGCATAATTCCTAGGTCAATGAAGAGAAAATTACTTTTTAAATATTTCTTTTCACTCGTGTGTGTGTGTGTGTGTGTGTGTGTGAGAGAGAGAGAGAGAGAGAGAGAGAGAGAGAGAGAGAGAGAGAAATTGTAATTGAGCACATGCATCTGTGATAGATGCCCGTGGGAGCCAGAAGAGAGGTTTGAATCCCGTGAAGCTGGAGTACCAGGTGGTGGTGAGCATCCTAATTGTAGGCAAGAGGCAGAGTTCCATTCTGCTGCAAGAACAGCAGTGTTCTTAATGGCCAAGCTGCCCACTATCCTCCAACATCAATTCTTAGAGAGTATTCACACTACGCCATAATTTCTCAGAATTTTCATGTTAATTTTAGACCTCACACAAATTCTTATAGTGTAGTATCATATTCTCCAAACTAAAAACAATATTAACATCAGATGAGAATAAGCAGAGAGATTAAGTCTGATGAATTTTCAATCAGAACGGTGACCAAGGGCTAGCTCCCCTCAGCATCACAAAGAGGGACATCAGAACTGCCCTTCAGAACTCCTTGGACAGTGGAGAGTCACGGGATGCTTGACAGTGGGTGATGAGGATGAATGGGTTTCAGCTGAGCACAGACTGATGAACTGAAGTGACAGTGACCACTCTGCATCCTGATCACCAGATCCCCCACTCCCTGAAACTGGTAAGTGTACTGAGGAAGGCGGTGACTATTTCATTTGCCCTGGGCTCAAACCTCCAAAATGAACAGAGTCAGGTCGCTCCTTCTTCATAAACGTTCTGGTGAGGGGTCCTGCTTGCAGTTGAACTAAAGATGCAGCCCTAGAAGACGTCGGTAGAAAAGCAGATGGAACCAGTTCTTCTTAGGTAAACTCTAAGCTGTCACACACACAAAAAAAGACCTTTGTATTTTGTTTGTTTATTTCTTTGAGTCAGGATCTCACTAGGTAGCTCTGAGTATTCTGGAACTTGCTATGTAGACCAACCTGTCTTGAATTCACAGAGACTCTTATCTTCGCTCTTTCTACATTTTAAAAATCAATTTTTTCTTACAGTTGAAAAGGAATGATTATACATGTTAAATGGGGTCCAATATGATATTTTAACATATATCTATGGTGTGCACTGATGATGTGACTTTATAAAGAGGATTAGCCCTGACAAGATGCTCCACATGGGTCAGGCTGGTCTTGAAATCACAGAGATCTGCCTTTGTCTCCTCTGAAGTGCTGTGATTAAAGGCATTTACTACAAAACAGGGCTCCTTGTATTTTTTTTGCTTATTATTTCAGCTCCTATGCATTATATTTTTATAAAATCTTTAATGAAATTTTCTGGGCAGCTATATGAATGTAATCACCACTATAATGTGGAGCAGCAGGATTTATTCATTCTGGATTGTGTTTGCTTTTGTGCTATTGTTTTAAATACATGTTTGAGCATTAAATTAAACCATAAAAGAGAATGGCATCTTCTAATTTGCATCAAAATGGATATAACTGGGCAATCCAGTTGCAAAAATCCAATCAGAAAAGGTAGATATTATATATGCACTCTCAAATGTGGAATTTAATTTGGGTTCATGATTCTTTAGTTTCAGGGTGGTAAGAGCTGAAAGATTTGACCAGAGGGGATAAAGTTCCTGGTGCCATCTTCCTTCCTGTTTCTCCCAGCCCTCAACCATTCTGATTCCATTCCTCCAAACCCCATTCCTATTTCAACACCTTTACAAATTGTTCTCTGTCTGAACCATTCTTCTTGAAAACCATCAGTACTCTCCACACGACAGAATATATTCT